TTATTTAGTGTTCTGTCTGATGACAGGTCCATATGAACAGGATCCTTCCATCTTTTTCTCGGACTGGGACCTGTTCATATACGTTCTTGGCAGATGATCCAGAAGTGGTTTGCCATTGCCTTCTTCTGTGTGTGAATGGAGTAATTGTTGGGATGCCACGGAGGAAAACGCCGTGTTGCCTAGACCACGGCCTTGCCCAACACCAGTTATAAATTTGAGCACCACCGGGAATTGAACCCGGGACCCCAGGCTTACAAGGCTAGTGTTCTGACCGCTATATTACCCACATAAAACAGCTTGTCTACCCACAATTTGAGCGACTGCTCGTTTAAGTTACGTGATAAGTTACCTTATCTGGGAGATTTGTAACGTTACACGCCATATAAGATAAGGGGGCCTGTAAAATGTTTGTCTGTGTGTGTCTGGAGTGAGAAAACAAAAATTTTCACTCACAAAGTACAGTGTTCATCATCATTCCACTGAATCTATCTCGCAAGACAGATAAAAAAAGGGATTTCACGACTTTTTTCATATTTGAACCATTTAAAACGCGTACCACGAGGCAGTCATACGCATGCAATACATTGTCGCATACATACCAACATCTGGGCCGATTTCGAAAAAAAAATCATCTCCATGAATAAAGGGGTTATAACTAACTCCACAGAGAAGAGTTCTTCACTCGGTTACTCAAGAAATTCCCCACCATTTATGGAGCCCGGATTTGCATTATTGTGTTCACAAGGGCCCACCACTGACTCCTATCCCAAGCCAGATGAATCAACTCCCCACCCTCTGACCCTAATTCCGTAAGATCCATTTTAATATCATCCTCCCATCAACCTTTATCAGCTCACTGTACCCTGGTATTTACTGTGAACTGTATCTCTTCAAAGACATTTTGTGCCGTGTGGCATCTCGCTGAATTGTGTTAATCAGACCATGGACGTAAAAATCAAAAACTGAAGTCTGGTATAATCCCTACCAGTTATCAATCCGTGAACGCTCCATACCCGTGTTTCACCGGAAGGCAGTTGACGGGATTCATCAACTGGAGTCGTCACAATGCTGGCTGGAACCAAAGTAAGAATGTTTCGTTGATTTTCAGACATCAAGACTGATACGAAACAAAATTGGGGGTTGTTTCTCTGTGAGTGATGAGGTTAAAAATGTAAAAGAAACCACCCCCACCCCCTCTGGGCTACTACATATTTCTTACCTTGTAAAACGACGTACCTCAGTTCGTAATAAACAGTTTCGAATCTTTTTCTGCAACTTTGTACATTTTAATGGTCTTTCAGGAGCCACGGTGGTCTAGCGGTTAAAACGCTGGCCTTGTAATCCTGGGGTCTCGGGTTCGATTCCCGGCGGTGCCCGAATTTATAACTTGTGTTGGGCAAGGCCGTGGTCTAGGCAACACGGAGTTTTCCTCCGTGGCATCCCAACAATTACTCCACTCACACACAGAAGAAGGCAATGGCAAACCACTTCTGGATCATCTGCCAAGAACGTATATGAACAGGTCCCAGTCCGAGAAAAGGATGGAAGGATCCTGTTCATATGGACCTGTCGTCAGACAGAACACTAAATAAAATATAATAATGGTCTTTCAGTTTGTTCGTTGCGGATAAACTCTTTTGTTACAAAACTAATCGACACAATCCACACGGATAAATTATTTTTATATCCTCACTATTATTCATTCGTATCATGCGCTTCACAATAACCTAACCTAACCTAACCTAACCTAACCTAAAAGACGTGACGCTTTAGAGACGACGCTCGTCGACAGAAACTGATCCTCGTAAAACCAGAATGCGTACATATTAATTAACAGTTCATAACAATTTGTACTATTCTGCTTGCAGTCCGGGTGTTTCTGTTCTATCTCGTGTTCTACATATGGCTAGCCGCTTTCTGGGCGGCTTGCATGTGGGGGCTACTGCAGACCATAGACACCGACACCCCTACATATGTGCTGGATAGCTCCATAATTGGAACGTCACCAGGTAATGTATTACAAAGCCTGCGTACACATTTCTACGTGCCACTGAATAACGAAGATGTGGAATGAAAAATAAGTTCATGATTAACAGATCAGATCTGCCCATAAACACGGACGGCCCACAATAAAATGACCACCTATAATCAGTTTATCACCAACAAGGCCAAAATTTCTGGGTGACAGAAAGGAATCCAAAATCCAAAAGTATATTCCTGAAAGGGGCTAAATTTCTGGTTGGGGCAGGGATTCTTCTGCTCATCATACTGCCTGGGGGGGGGGTTTCCAGAACGTAATGTTGACCACTCACCCCATATGCTGCAGAGGTAACTAAACTTTTCATAAAGATAAACACTGATGATGGAGGCAGCAAGGGGACCTCTGAAATGCTGCTAAATTTCTACCAGATTACACGGCGCTATAACCGAAAAGACAGCACCAATGAGAACCTCAAATTCTACTTAGTAAACCTTCTACCTTTGCCACATTCATGGAACAAAATCTGCCAGAATCACATTCACAAACAGAAAAAGTATAACAACATTTTGATGTGGAAGTTCCACGATAAATTAAGGAGATAATTTAAGTTTTAACCCATTCAAAACAAAACTCATCTAAATGGTTGAGAATCTAGCCCGTACCTCAAAGAGAACACCACACTTTACCATTATAATGCCGTTTAAGGAAGTAATCGCTGTTTGCTAAGAGAATCATATGAAATGTACAGTAACAAGATTTTATCTCGCATGTGTGTAGGTCTCGCATCCCGTCCAATGCCCCCTGAAGGACGTGAAAGTATATTGACTTACGCCAAAGTCAATAAGTCATGGGTTACACCCAATAACTGGATACCAACGGTGGATAAACTCCTGGAAGGTATTACCGAGTTACATTTCTTAAGTTTTTTAAGCTTTGCTTCAGTTCTGCCAATACCAGGACACCTCATCCTTGCTAATTGACTATACGCGGCGATCCTCTTATTACAACTCCAAAGAGCCTCTGCAGTTAATATATTATCAGTATCTTTGTATTTATCTTGCTTCTTGTTTTGTATGGGTGCGAAACATGGTCTCCCACTCAGAGGGAGGAACATAGATTGCAGGTGTTGAGGAGGATATTTGGGCCTAGGAGAGAAGAGGATGGGGCCTGGAGAAAACTGCGTAATGATGAGCTTAAAAATCTGTACTCCTCCCCCAATATTGTCAGGGTGATTAAGTCGAGAAGAATGAGATAGGCTGGGCATGTAGCGCGCATGGATGGGGCAAGAGGTGTGCACCGGGTATTGGTTGGGAAGCCTGAGGGGAAGAGACCGCTGGGGAGACCTAGACGTAGATGGGAGGATAATCTCAGGCGGGATCTATGGGAGATAGGAGTTGAAGGCGACTGGATTTTGTTGGCCCAGGACAGGGTCTGGTGGAGGACTTTGGTTAATTCGGTGATGAACCTTGGGATTCGGTAAGCCATCTAGTTAGTTATCTTTGTATTTATCACAGGATTGTTCAGTCGGAAAAGATTAATGGGACAGAAACTGATCATGGCCTTGAAGGACGATACCATCAGCGTCTTTATACGGAAAATCATTGAGGAAGACAGGTCAGGAAAGCTGACAACTTTTTGTTTCGTGTCCGGTACACACCATTGGTGTGCACTGGTGGTTAGCAGGATTCGCGACCCATCAGTACATTGGTTGGATGGATCGGGACACCTATTGAGATTCAAACTATAAATCTCCCGAGTAAAATGTTCTACTATCGCGTCTGAATCATTCTCGTGTTTCAGAATATCAGACCACACTCAATAACACACAGAAATGCAGCTACAGAAACAGCAAAGAGGACGATAATTCGGTGTGTGACGTAGACATAAATTCTTGGGGAGACTGTAAACCAAATGGCAGCTTCGTCTCCAACATATGCATGTACTTCAAGATCAACAAGGTAAGCACATGACGACACACGCAAAAACTATAATTCACAGCCAATAAGGGATTAACCTGAGACGGAATACCTTTTTAAATCTTTAGACTCGACTAATGATAGTATTATTTGTGCGATAATTTGGGATTTCGGGCCAAAAACCTTGCATGTTTGTTCAACATTTGTTCTGGATTTGTATCCAGTACGAACACAGTCCAAATATCAGCCAGGTACTTGCTATCCTGATGAATAATTTTCATAATTTTCCTCAGACACTCCATGGCCCCTTTTCCAATTCTTTACCTATTTACTATCACTATGACCTCCGAAGTTAAAATAGTATCATTAAATAATTATATAATCAAGACGGATGAGATGAGAGGGGCACGCAAAACTTTGGTTGGAAAGTCTGAATGGTAGAAATCAGTCTGAAGACCCTGGCATAAACGGGAAGATAATATTAAAATGGATCTTAAGAAAACAGTGTTGGAATGTGTAGACTGGATTATCTGGCTCGGAGTTGAGGGGTGGGCTCTTGTGAACACAGTAATGAACCTTTGGGAGGAAAATTTCTGAGTATCTGAGAGACTTGAGGTCTCTGCTATGTGAAGTTTGTTATACACGGTCTGTTATGGATTAATAATGCCATGTACAGGAAGTTTTTGGTTGGTTATTTTACAATATTGCCACGGTGGTCTAGCGGTTAGAACGCTGGGTTTGAAATACTGGGGGTTCGATTCCCGGCGGTGCTCAGATTTACAACTTGTGTTGGGCAAGGCCGTGGTCTAGGCATCATGGAGTTTTCCTCCGGGGGCTTCCCCGGTTTCTCCGTGGCATCCCAACAATTACTCCACTTTCATCATCATCTCGCAAAAAAGGGGGGACACAGGAGGAACGTTAAATACAAGGGATATACAATAAGTTATAATGTTTATAACCTAATCATGTCTCTTTATTGTAGGTGTTTGAATGGAAGCCAGATTACTACAAAGAACTGGAATCCTTGCCAAAAGACATGCCTGATGACCTCAAGAATGTAATAAATAACACATTTTTATCATACCCAGAAAAAGTAAGTGTCAATTTGTGCGCTACTCAATTAACTTGTCGCCATGCAGAGGAAAGGCAAGCGACAATGCAGATATGAAGTATAAATACATGGTCATTCAAGAAGATTTGGATGGAATCTCTGATACAGATCTCATTCATCATATAACTGTCACAGATTAGACTCCCTGGCGAGTTTAGATTCATAATAAATTCTCATGAATGAATGAAACAATAAATCCTTTAGACACGAGGTGCTCCTCCTCCTGGAATTCGTGACGAAAATGTTTATTAATTACAGTTCCCAAAAAAGAAAAATCAAACCTCAAGACAATTCCTAGCCCTGACAACTCTGTCCATCCGTGCATCTGTTCATTCCACCGGGCATTTCAGCGTTCATCATGCACGAAAAATTATTCAATTAAAATATAAAATAATCTCAATTATTATACATTTGATAATTTTGTACGACAGTGTCACTCACATTTTGGTAGAGTCCGACCTTTTCCTTGTTGTGAACTACTACCACCTTGTGGAAACCATGAGTAACCATCAAATTCTATTCCCTTAAAACCCTAAGGGCTTGTGTATTTATTAGCGTTACTTTCAAAGTACTTAATTTTCCGACATATCAACTGTTATTCGATGTGAGTAAAGTTATGAAATAATAAACGACTTCTAATTTTCAGAAGAATAAAGTCTGGCTCAGCTGTGAGGGGAGACATGAAGCCGATCAGGAACATCTGGGACCTGTTAGGTATTTTCCAGAGCAGGGATTTCCCGGTTACTTCTACCCATTTCGTAACCAAATTGGTTTCAGGAGCCCTATTGTAGCTATGCGCATTTTGGAGCCCAAAAGTAAGTCATGTATCTGATTTCAGATTGTAATTTTAAAAATTGCATAGGTCATTTTTGGAAGTCTTAAATGTGAAATAATGAGTGTCATAAGTTACACATTTTTAAGTGTCAACCAACACTACAGACCCACTTAATGGTACCTGCACCTTGTCGTGGTCGTGGGGCTTGAGTACCTCAGTGACCCCAAGAGCTACTGGTAGGGCCTCCCTAGCCAGATTGGTCGAGGGGGAGAGGTCAGACTAAGACAGGTACCCTGGTCCTCCAAGCTGCGGGTTCGTCGCAAGGCAAACAACCTTGCGCCGTAAAAAGGAATATGTTTCGAAATCTCGATCAAAGCCTCGGACAGACAGACCTAACAGAGGACTGAATGGAAGAGGAGAATTGAGGAGGCCATGGACCGAATACGGACCAGAGAGCCATAGAAGAAGAACCAATACTACAGATCCATGTGTGGGTTTTATGTGCCACATATGTTATGGTGAAAGAAATATGTGGGTATGACTTGTGTAGTTTTCTGACAATAACAGTTACGATTGTGCAAAATAAGACACATGATCACAATTTAAAAATGTGTAGCTTATGTATAGTTAAAAATGTATTTCACATGTACGACTTTATACCCGAAGACAACTTAATAAGTTTGAAACACGTTCGATAAAATCTTCTTAGGTAACAAACCCTGTCAGTCGCGGAAAAAAGCCCAAGGCCGTGGCCCACGCAGCTTGTTGCACCGAGAAGATTTTATTGAGTTCAGGCACCATGACAGCTTGACACTAATTACGCACAAATGGAATCTAATGTCTCAAATTTTGTTCACAGCCGACGTTGTGATCAACTTGGAATGTCGGGCATGGGCGCGAAACATCGAACACGACCGCAAGGAACAGTTAGGAATGCTTAATTACAAGATAAAGATAGCATGACGAACTGGAGAACTCGATAGATCAACGTTAAATACTATGTATTTTTGTGATAGAGCAAATCACCTTCACCATTATCATCATAAACTGATATTAAATGATGGGCCCTTTCTATTAAGTCAAACTTGTACCTTCATACATAATTTTTTGGCATGTTTTACGATATATATTAACTAATGATGTATAAATTTATATGAATGCTGGAAACTTGTAGAAAGTAAATGTAGATAATGATATAACAGATTATCACATACTGGTCAAGTTATGTTGACCAAACTATACTCCTTCACTTAATTGTGTCTGTCCGCAAATGTATACAGCAATAACCGCACCAGTTGGAACACATACATTTCTTTAATCAGATCACTTACTAAAATTCTTTTGTCAATTTTATATTTGGTTCAGACGGATAAACAAAGATTATTACTTTACACAAAGGCCACTATCTGAATAAACAGGACCATACAGGCCAAGACGAGTTTATTGGCTCAACACCACACACCCTTATGAGCCGGGATAGCTCAGTGAGTATAGAGACTAGCTACGAGCTGGACGACCGGGGTTCGATCCCCGACGAGGGCAGAGGATTTTTCCTCTAGCCTCTGCGTCCAGACCGGCTCTGGGGCCCACCCAGCCTCCTCTACAATGGGTACCAGAGATCATTTCCCGGGGGTAAAGCCGGCCGGGGCGTGATGCTGACCACTCACCCCCCATCTAGTGCCGAGGTCAAGAAAGAAAGGAGCTATACCTCCACTCCCCCCAAGTGCCTGTACGGCACGTAGCGGGACAAACTTTTACCACACCCCATTCAAATGTATGGAATGATCAACCGGAATATTACACGACTGAAATATCTTCATAAAGGGACCAACATTTATTTAGAAGCATTTGTAAATATGTGTAATAAAATAGTTTTTGTTGGACTGTAGTCTTCTGGATTTGGACACCATGTAGTGCTGTATGTGGTTATCAATGTTTTGCAGGAATGTACTGCCTCAATCTTCTACCCTGAAGACTACACGGAGTTGTAACACAAAAGAACACAATCCAAATTTTCGATGCTGTAAAAATGACAAATTTCATATAGTTCTTGTAGCCTGATATTTTTCAAAGCACCCTTCCACACAGTAGCAAATTTACAGACGTGCTAGTAGACGTTAACCTAAGTTTACATAAATGTTGTTCATACGTTGAAACAAAGACTGTGAAATACTGTGGCATTGTTCCAGTTACTATTTGTCAATAAAATTACCATCTGACAAAACACGAGCCAAGTAAAGATAAAGCTGTCTCTGGTGCTTCATTAAGCACCATGCCATGCAGATGTAAGGATGAGTAAAAGTTTAGGCATCACACATTCTTAACCTTGACACTATGTAGAGGCGAGTGATCGGCTTCCGTCCCCTCTTTAATTGTAAGAAAATAACCCCAGTACCCATTAGATAGGAGGCTGAGCCAGTCTCGACGTTACGGCTAACAAAATAATCCTGCCCTGTCACGAATCAAAACCCAGACGTCCATTCTTTCTATCCGCGGTAAGAGAGGATTGTCACCATTATGGCACTAGAAAATGAAAGTAGATTTCAGAATCACTTGAAGAAGCAAATGTATGAGATCGATAAACTATCTTGTACTGCAATCCTCTAATCCACGCCGTGCAAACGTGGAGTATTAAATATGTAGTGTTCAAACTACTATTGAGACTTTTTTAAAAAAGATTAATATTCATTCCTTCTTTCCATATGCAATAAAATATATGACAAGAAAAATGTAGTTTCTTATTTTGCTTTATTTAAGGACATCAGTACTCAAGACTACATCAAACTGAGTGATAGGATGATTAATGACTGAGTTTGAAAGTATGTGCAAAGGAATGGTCATAGATTAAAAAATTAAATCAGTGGCGTAACAGCTCCAGAGCGCCAAAGCCGACTAGCTTGACTGCTGGCCTCACGTTCACATGCCTAAGCAGAGATGAACGATCATCCAGCCAGATACAGGCTGACATGTGGTCAGCACGATGAACCCCCAGCCATTGCTAGCTTTCCTGACCGGATTACGCTACTCATTGTAGCTCCCCAATTTCCTCACGATGCTGGGTTGGCACCGGTCCCATACACTGGTCGAAAGCTCATGAGAAAACTTCTTCTCCCCTGAGACCTGAACCAGCGCGCATTCCGTATCGCCGGTCCGAAGCATGATGCCTCAGACCGCGTGGCTACAGCGTGGGACGACCCACATAAGAAACTGGCCTAAATACCATTTTGCAGGTTTTATACATCTTTGGAAAAGCTTTTGAGATCTGCATCTGTTTTCTTGTGACAGATCTGAGCATCCCACCTCCTTATTTACAGTTTCTTGACAGAGGAAATTAAATTCCCTGTAGTTTTATTAATATTATCTACAACCACTTAAGAGTAATCAACAGAAAGTCCACGTACAACTGAATGACTTTAATTCTCCTAATCAGAAGGTAAGACATCATTACATACCATCTATTGAAATCTTGTATATTTGCTGCATAAATAATAATCCATTAAACTGTACCATTTAAGGAAAATCAAAAAACAGTAGAAACTAAACCACAGCCTTCTGTAAATGTGAAAATTCTCCATCATTTGTATAATCAAAAAAACTTCTGCTAGCCCTATAGGTTAATGGAGAAGATTCTTAAGTCACTAATTTAATTTATGTTTGCCATGTAAATTTAAGTGATAGTTAAGATGTTCTTTTCTCACAAAACCTTTGCCACATTCTTGACAAACAAATCGACGCTTTCCAGAGTGCACGGTAAGATGATCTTTCAGCCGATCTCTCCTAGCAAAAGTTTTACCACATTCAGTGCACACATGTGGTTTGTTCTGTGAATGCGTATAAATATGAGTCTTCAGTTTGTGATTCTTTGAAAATCTCTTGCCACAAGTTGTACAGAGAAAAGGTTTCTCACCTGCATGAATTGCCAGGTGTTCTTTTAAACTGTCAGCACGTCCAAATGTTTTAGGACACAGAGTGCAGTTAAATGCCTTTTCCCCTGTATGGCACACCAGATGTGCCTGAAGATGTGCTAATCTGACAAATTTCTTGCCACAATCCACACAGGCATACGGTCTCTCCACACTGTGTGTTTTCGTGTGACTATAAAGACCACTGCTCTGTGAAAAACAAGCCCCACAATCTTCACAGGAGTATGGCTTCTCTGCAGAATGTATTTTGCAATGAATTTTCATGCTCTGTTTAAGATTAAAACTCTTCCCACACACATTGCAAGAGTACGGCCTTTCTTGACTATGTGTTACCATGTGTCGCTTGAGAGCACTCTTCAAGTAAAACATTTTACCACAAACATCACACACAAACTTCTTCTGTGGCTGTGATACATTTATGACACTGTGTATAGATGTTCCTTCATGATCAGTGTTTTTGATTTTGTCATGATCATTAGGATTTTGTTCTGTACATTCAGCATCCAGCCTGAAATGATTTTAATAAATCATTTATAGCATCACATCTACGAAAATGTCTGTCCTATCTATTTAACCTTTCAAGTATTGTGGACAGAACAGATTCACCACACAGAACAACACAGTGTGAGTTATAAATAGAACAGGTCCGCAAAGGTAACAGGATCTCCAGTAACATCCGACTGCCTCGTTACTTACAAAAAAGAAAAAAAGACCTTCAACTTACTTAGCACTCTGCATTCAAATATGTGGAAAAGTACAAGGAATGGGTGCTTACTCCTTGAGGCCCACCCAGTAAATGTAGCTACATCAATGTAATATAAAGATATATCAGAGTAAAAATGCCAACTAACCACTGACTGTCATCACTGGCGTCCGGAGTAATGCCATGTTCTTTGATAGTTATTTCCACCTCATCAACTTCCACCTTCACTTTGTCAATCTCAAATGCTTCTCCTTTGCTAGGCAGAGGATCGTCCTGTGACAAACAACAAGTAATACAAGAATATATTTTTACAGTAGTTTTATGTAAATGATGATGCGTGGAAATGTCTATGAAACTTTAAAAAATATATACATCCAAAAGGTTCAAATAACCATGTTTTAGAAGTGCCTCTAGACCACTATAATGTTCATCCTATTATGATATCCTACTAATTACAGTACATTATAATTAGTATTAACACCAACAATATTATTAAAAACCAAGTATTCATAAATTATATTATAATTTAATTAGATTAATACAATGGCTAGATGTTTCAACCTTACACTGTCATCACCATGTTTATTTAAAATTCATTTTCTGATGATTATGACACAGGTTCCCAAAGTGTAGCCCATGGGCAACCAGTGTTCTGTGACCTTCATTTAGGGATTACAAAAAATTATGAAAAAAATTAATAAAAATACATGAACAAGTTATACAGAAGTGCCACGATACTTCTGGGATAAATTACAACACCAACTTCATTATTATTATCATCCTTAGGATGCCAGTATGCTGACTGACTGTGGACTGGATGAATGAGGTTCGATCCCCAACAGGGGCCGAGGATTTTTCCTCTAGCTTTTGCATCCAGACTGGCTCTGGGGGCCACCCAGCCTCCTATCCAATAGGTACTGGGGTCCTTTCCCGGGGGTAAAGCACAGCTGAGGCATGGCACTAACCACTGGGACCCTACCAAAGACCCAAGATCAGCTGTCTGTGGTTATTCAGTATATTCATAATTACCCTCCATATTTGTAGGATGTCTTCCATCCACAACTTTAGGATGCACAATGCTATGGTGACAAAGGCTCCAAGTAACTTATTGTCATATGATTAATAAAGTTGTAAAACTTACAGTACTAAATGACTACTATGATCCAAAGCTATTACTCTAATCTACATAACCATAAAAAATTCCCAAATTTCACCAAAGATGAGAACACTTTTAAATATGTCAAAAGATAACTACTGAAGTAAATATAGTTAGGCATAATTAATCTAAAATCAGTAATAGTTAACCTCATATTTCATACAGACATGTAATATCTTACCCCCGGTCTTAACAGCATCTGTCGAAGTCTTACATCACTCATTTCACATTGCAACTTGAAGTTGTAGCTTACATTTACCTGATGCACACATTCAGCGCACACCTTGTCCGGCAGTTCATCACCAACACATAACTGTAAAATTCAATACAAACTTCCTACTGAACAGTTATGATATCTCAGGACATACATTAATGAGCAGAAGAATGCAAAATGAGTACTGTAACTTTGAACAACACTGAATTCATTTAAATGTGATATTGAAATTACTTATAATGTGTGTACCTCACTACATTCCATAGTTCCTCTATCATGTTCCTCATTTGGTTTGATTTGCTCATGAGAACAAAATAGTATCCTGTCTAACATTCAAAATATGGTGACATCTAAAACTGTCCCTTGCATCAACTTTCCCTCCAGAGTATATTTATCACACTAGTTCATCTCTCAGACGCTGTTCAACGGAACGTGTCTTATTACGGAATGACTGTAGATTTTCGTAGGTACAGAAATTGGAAAATCGTTCTCCCTTGCAGAGGCACATAACCTAGAAGCTAATTAAACAACAAAATCCGCTTTATGTTACAATGCCTTAGGTCGGCTAATTTAAGGTAGTCTACTTTGGGAGCCACTGTACATTTAGAATAAAATATAATTTATTAACGTTCCAGAAAGAACATGTAAAAAACACTTGTCGCCGTTTTGTGAAAGTTCGATATTTCACTTCTTGTTTCGTACTTTGTATTAGTTCCAGTGTCCTCCACTTTTGTAACAAATTAAAAAAGGGACAAGGAAAACTCAACAACAATGAAGTGTTTTAATCTACTTATTAATGACAATACTAACCTCCAAACCTGGTGACAAGAACATCAC